GAGAGGCAGACGTAGGTAGATGGGGAGGGCAGACGTCGGTGAAGAGAGGGCAGACAGGTAGATGAGAGGGCAGACGTCGGTAGATGAGGAGGGCAGACGTGGTAGATGAGAGGGCAGACGTAGGTAGATGAGAAGGAGACTGGTAGATGAGAGGGCAGACGTAGGTAGATGAGAAGGCAGACGTAGGTAGATGGAGAGGGCAGACGTAGGTAGATGAGAGGGCAGACGTCAGTAGATGAGAGGCAGACGTAGGTAGATGAGAGGGCAGACGTAGGTAAAGAGAGAGGGCAGACGTAGGTAGATGGGAGGCAGACGTCGGTAGATGAGAGGGCAGACGTAGGTAGATGAGAGGGCAGACGTCGGCTGATCAAGGGATTAATAGAGAGTTATCAAGGGAACTGGGTCATATTATGCATTGTTCTGTCTGTCTGTCTTGTCTGTCTGCTTCTGCCTGTCTGTCTGTCTGCCTGTCGTCTGTCTGTCTGTCTGTCTGTCTGTCTGCCTGTCTCTCTGTCCTGTCTGTCTGTCCTGCCTGTCCTGTCTCTTCCTGTCTGCTCTGTCTGTCTGTCTGTCTGTCTGTCTGTCTGTTCTGTCTGTCTGTCTTCTGCCTGTCTCCTGTCTGTCTGTCTGCCCTCTCTGTCTGTCTGTCTGTCTGTCTGTCTGTCTGTCTGTCCGTCTGTCCTGCCTGTCTGTCTGTCTGCTTTCTGTCTTCTGTCTGTCTGTCTTCTTCTCTTCTGTCTGTGCCTGTCTGTCTCTATCCTCTGTCTGTCTCTGTCTGTCTGTCTGCCTGTCTGTCTCTGTCCTGTCTGCCTGTCTGTCTGTTCCTGTCTGTCCTCTCTGTCTGTCTGTCTGCTGTCTCTCTGCTGTCTGTCTGTCTGTCTGCCTGTCTGTCTGTCTGTCTGCCTGTCTGTCTGTCTGCCTGTCTGTCTGCCTGTCTGTCTGTCTGTCTGTCTGTCTGCCTGTCTGTCTGTCTGCCTGTCTGTCTGTCTGTCTGTCTGTCTGTCTGTCTGTCTGTCTGTCTGTCTGTCTGTCTGTCTGTCTGTCTGTCTGTCTGTCTGTCTGTCTGTCTGTCTGTCTGCCTGTCTGTCTGTCTGTCTGTCTGTCTTCGTAGTTAAGGTTAGAGTCTGTGTGTGTGTGTGTGTGTGTGTGTGTGTGTGTGTCAGGTCTTCAGGGAAAGACTTAATCCACCACAGAAATCGACCATTAGACGGGATTACAGGCCCTTTCCTCCTCTCCTCTCCCTCTCCTCCCTCTCACTCTCCCTCTCCCTCCTCCTCCTCTTTCCCTCTCCTCCTCTCACCTCTCCTCTCTCACCCTCTCCTCTCTCTCTCTCCCTCTCACCTCTTCTCTCTCCTCTCTCCCTTTCCCTCTCCTCCTCTTTTTTTTTTTTTTCCTCTCTCTCTTCTCATCCCTCTCTTCCTCTCCTCTCTCACCTCTCTCTCTCATCCCTCTCACCTCTTTCCCTCTCCTCCTCTCCCTCTCCTCTCCCCTTACAAGGTTATCGGAATCGAGTCTGTCATTACTGAACTCTTTCTCTCTCCCTCCTCTCCTCCCTCTCACACTCTCCCTCCCTCCCTCTCCCTCCTCCCTCCCTCACCCCTCCCCCTCTCACACCATAAGTCACCAAGCCCCGAGACTCCCTCCTGTCTGTTTGTCTGTGTGTGTGTGTGTGTGTGTGTGTGTGTGTGTGTGTGTGTGTGTGTGTGTGTGTGAGAGAGAGAGAGAGAGAGAAGAGAAGAGAGAAACTCCTTTCATCACCTGAACACTCCTTCCCTCCACCACCCCTCCTTCCTCCACCCTCCTTCCCTCCACCACCCCCTCCTTCCCTCCACCACCTCCCTTCCCTCACCCCTCCTTCCTCCCACCCCTCTCCTTCCCTCCACCACCCCTCCTTCCCTCCACCACCTCTCCCTCCCCACCTCTCCTTCCTCCACCACCCCTCCTTCCCTCCCACCCCCTCCTTCCTCCTCCCCCTCCTTCCCTCCACTAATCCGATTAGGATTAATTAAATGGCTTGATGAGGGGGTGGCCTATCCTGGGGGGTGACACTATCCTGGGGTGACACTATCCTGGGGCGACACTATCCTGGGGCTGACACTATCCTGGGGTGACACTATCCTGGTGACACTATCCTAGGGTGACACTATCCTGGGGTGACACTATCCTGGGGGGTGACACTTCCTGGGGTGACACTATCCTGGGGGTGACACTATCCTGGGGGTGACACTATCCTGGGGTGACACTATCCTGGGGGGTGACACTATCCTGGGGTGACAGCACTATCCTGGGGTGACACTATCCCGGGGGGTGACTATCCTAGAGTGACACTATCCTGGGGGTGACACTATCCTGAGGGGTGACACTATCCTGAGGTGACACTATCCCGGGTGACACTATCCTGGGGTGACACTATCCTGGGGTGACACTATCCTGGGGGGTGACACTATCCTGGGTGACACTATCCTGGGGTGACACACTATCCTGAGGTGACACTATCCTGGGGTGACACTATCTGGGTGACACACTATCCTGGGGGTGACACTATCCTGGGTGACACTATCCTGGGGGGACACTTATCTGGGGGGTGACACTATCCTGGGGTGACACTATCGGGGGTGACACTATCCTGGGGGTGACACTATCCTGGGGTGACACTATCCTGGGGGTGACACTATCCTGGTGACACTATCGGGTGACACTATCCTGGGGGGTGACTATCCGGGGAGTGACACTATCCTGGGGAGACACTATCCTGGGGGTGACACTATCCCGTGACACTATCCGGGGTGACACTATCCATTATCGTGACACTATCCTGACACTATCCTGGGGGACAACACTATCCTGGGGGTGACACTATCCTGGGGGTGACACTATCCTGGGGGTGACACTATCCTGGGGGTGACACTATCCTGGGGGACTATCCTGGGGGTGACACTATCCTGGGGGTGACACTGGGTGACACTATCCTGGGGGTGACACTATCCTGGGGGTGACACTATCCCGGGGGTGACACTATCCTGGGGGCTGATCATCCTGGGGTGACACTATCGGGGTGACACTATCCTGGGGCAGAGTCCTGGGGGACACTATCCTGGGGGGACACTATCCTGGGTGACACTATCCTGGGGGTGACACTATCCCAAAGTATCTGGGGGACACTATCCTGGGGACACTATCCTGGGGCGACACTATCCTGGGGTGACACTATCCTGGGGGTGACACTATCCTAGGGGACACTATCCTGGGGTGACACATCCTGGGGGGGTGACACTATCCTGGGGTCCTGGGGTGACACTGGGGGTGACACATCCTGGGGGTGACACTATCCTGGGGGTGACACTATCCTGGGGTGACACTATCCTGGGGGTGACACCATCCTGGGGTGACACTATCCTGGGGGGACACTATCCTGGGGGACACTATCCTGGGGGTGACACTATCCTGGGGGTGACACTCATCCTGGGGTGAGACACTATCCTGGGGCGACCATCCTGGGGGTGACACTATCCTGGGGGACACTATCCCAGTGACACTATCCTGGGGTGACACTATCCTGGGGTGACACCATCCTGGGGTGACCATCCCAAGGACACTATCCTGGGGGTGACACTATCCCTGGGGGAGACACTATCTGGGTGACACTATCCTGGGGGACTATCCTGGGGGCAGACACTATCCTGGGGTGACACTATCCTGGGGTGACACTATCCTGGGGGTGACACCATCCTAAGACACTATCCTTACCAAGGGGGTGACTATCCTGGGGTGACACTATCCTGGGGGTGACACTATCCTGGGGGTGACACTATCCTGGGGTGACACTATCCTGGGGGTGACACTATCCTGGGGTGACACTATCCTGGGGGTGACACTATCCTGGGGGACACACCATCCTGGGTGACACTATCCTGGGGGTGACACTATCCTAGTGACACTATCCTGAGACTATCCTGGGGGTGACACTATCCTGGGGGTATCGACACTATCCTGGGTGCACCATCCTGGGGTGACACCATCCTGGGGTGACACTATCCTGGGGTGACACCATCCCGGGGTGACACCATCCTGGGTGACACTATCCGGGACACTATCCCAGACACTATCCTGGGGGGTGACACACTATCCTGGGGTGACACTATCCCAGGTACACTATCCTGGGGGTACACTGGGGGTGACACTATCCCAAGACATCCTGGGGGTGACACCATCCTGGGGGTGACACCATCCTGGGGGTGACACTTCATCCTGAGTGACACTATCCTGGGGGTGACACTATCCTGGGGGATACATCCTGACACTATCCTGGGGATATCCTGGTGACACTATCCTGCATCGACACTATCCTGGGGGTGACACATCCTGGGGGTGACACCATCCTGGGGGACACTATCCTGGGGTGACACTATCCTGGGGGGTGACACTATCCTGGGGTGACACTCATCCTGGGGTGACACTATCCTGGGGTACACTCATCCTGGGGCTGAAGACACTATCCTGGGGTGACACACCATCCTGGGGGTGACACTATCCTGGGGAGACATCACATCCTGGGGACACTATCCTGGGTGACACTATCCCTGGGGTGACACCTGGGATCAACAACACCAGTTCTTGAGAGGAGGAGGAGAAGAGAGGAGAGAGAGAGAGAGAGAGAGAGATGATATGTGGAAAGTCGATGTGGGTCTAAACTATGTCAATTTACGCCAAATTAAGTCTCTCTCCAGGGTAAATGTTACAGGTTCTGTAAGATATTTGCATGTATATTACCTATACGTTGGCCGCCCCCCTCCGATTTGACGTCCTGTTGGTCCACGCCTTGTACCCAGGCCTCCACGCCTTGTACCCACGCCCCCACGCCTTGTACCCACGCCCCTCCATGCCTTGTACCCACGCCCTCCACGCCTTGTACCCAGCCCCCCACGCCTGTCCGCCACGCCCTCCAAGCCTTGACCACGCCCCCCACGCCTTGTACCCACGCCCTCCACGCTCTTGTACCCATGCCCCCCACGCCTTGTACCCACGCCCTCCGCCTTGTACCCACGCCCTCCACGCCTTGTACCACGCCCCCCACGCCTTGTACCCACGCCCTCCACGCCTTGTACCCACGCCCCCCCACGCCTGTACCCACGCCCTCACGCCTTGTACCCGCCCCTCGGCCTTGTACCCACGCCCCCCACGCCTTGTACCCACGCCCTCCACGCCTTGTACCCACGCCCCCCACGCCTTGTACCCACGCCCTCCGCCTTGTACCCACGCCCCCACGCCTTGTACCCACGCCCCTGCCGCCTTGTACCCACGCCCCTCCACGCCTTGTACCCACGCCCCCCACGCCTGCCCCCACGCCTTGTACCCACGCCCCCACGCCTTGTACCCACGCCCCCCACGCCTTGCACCCACGCCCCCCACGCCTGTACCCACGCCCCCCACGCCTTGTACCCACGCCCCCACGCCTTGTCCACGCCCTCCCGCCTTGTACCACGCCCCACGCCTTGCGCCCCCCACGCCTTGTCCGCCCTGCCTTGTACCCACGCCCTCCACGCCTTGTACCCACGCCCCCTTGCCACCCCTCCACGCCTTGTACCCACGCCCTATACAAAGGAAGTGTCCAAATGACCACCAATTAGTGACTATGTGATAAATTGTTGAGATGTTCAAATGACCTCCGTCCTATACTGAACTATTCCCAAAGTTCAAAAGTTCAGATGATTGCCACATCCCACCCCCATACTGTCGTGTTCAATGTTCATAAGACCTCCATACCAATGTTCAAACACTCCCTAAATGTTCAAAGGTTAGGATAAGCGTCATTATTCATCTTGTGTTCAGTGTTCAAATGTTCTTACGTCTTATCTAGTTCTATCTACTGTCTCTGTGAACACCTGTGTGTCTCTCTCTCTCTCTAACCCTTACCCCCGTCTCTCTCTCTCTCTCTCTCAAATACTGACACCTGACACATACCAAGCCTCTTATTGTAAAGGATACCTAATACACTCTTTTCTCTCTCTCTTTCTGTCTCTCTCTCTTTCACTTTCTCTCTCTCTCTCTCTTTCACTCTCTCACTTTCTATCTCTCCCTAACCCTTACCCCCTTTTCTCTTTATTTTTGTCTTTCACTTTCTCGCTCTCTCTCTTTTTTTCTTCTTTCTCTAACCTTTAAGAGACGAGTGTAGGTTTAATTGTTGTGAGAGAGAGAGAGAGAGAGAGAGAGAGTTTGCACCAGTCTCTCATAGGACTCAATATACCATTCATCAATCACATCAATAACTAAAATCAATAATTAAATCAGAAAATCAAATCCAATTCACGAAAACCAATAATAATAACAAATGAACATTACGACTTTACATTGACATTAATTCTTCATATTAACGTAACATAATTCATACCTAAGTAATTATATACGGTAACTAATTAATAAAATCGATAAATTAATATAAAAATAAATTAAAGATGTTATTTTAGTATTTACGGGTTTAAGAATGTTGTCAAGTCCCGGTTTGTTTTGGCTTCAAGCGGCGACCGTCTGAGGAGGAAAATATTATCGTTTCGTTAACTAAATTGTCAAGCGCTTCTCCTCTTCCATGTTTTAATTGAAGTTATTGGATAAAGACTCAATTTCACCTCCCTCCCTCATCCCCCCTTTCTCCCTTACCCCCCTCTCTCCCCTTACCCCTTCTCTCCCTTTACCCTTCCTCTCCTAATTCTCACCTCCATGATAAACATTGTTAGGTAACTTAATTCTAGCCTAATGTGTTGGCAAACACAACACACACATACATACATACATAGATAGATACATATATACATACATACATACATACTGTACATACATACCCACACGTACACGCCCCCCCACACCAACATAATACGTACATAAACCACACATTACATACATACATACACACACCATACATACATATATACATACATACACACACACACACACACGTACACGCCCCCCACAAAGACTACATCAGATTAACTATAAACAACAATGACCTATTTAGACTACAGCCCCTTGTGAAGAATACCTATCCACCTATCCTCCTATTTGGGCTCTTTCACTCATCCCTGCCTATCCACTAGTGTTTTGCTATTAACCCTCATCCCTATTACATCCCTGCCTATCCACTAGTGTTTTGCTATTAACCCTCATCCCTATTACCATCCTGCCTATCCACTAGTTTTGCTATTAACCTCATCCCTACCATCCCTGCCTATCCACTAGTGTTTCATTAACCTCATCCCTATTACCATCCCTGCCTATTGTGTTTTTTCTATTACCATCCCTGCCTATCCACTAGTGTTTTGCTATTAACCCTCATCCCTATTACCATCCCTGCCTATCCACTAGTGTTTTGCTATTAACCCTCATCCCTATTACCATCCCTGCCTATCCACTAGTGTTTTGCTATTAACCCTCATCCCTATTACCATCCCTGCCTATCCACTAGTGTTTTGCTATTACTCATCCCTATTACCATCCCTGCCTATTCCGTTTGTTTATCGTTCATTTCCTTATTTTTACCTTTAATCCTCGTCTCCTATTTATCACTTGCCTCTCTTTCTCTAATCTTCTTTACATTCACTTTTTACATCTTCCTCCTCCCACTCTTCTCTCTCTCTCTCTTCCTCCTACTGCCCTCTCCTTTCCTTTCCTCCTGCCCTTACTCTCTCTCTCCTCTCACACCCTCCCACTCTCTTCCTACCCATGGTGATGAAGGTGAAGCTGGCACCTGGACGCCACACATGGTGACTATTCAGGCCATTGAGAAGTGGCACCTTTTGTGTGGAGAGAGAGAGACACACACACACACACACACACACACACGACACACACACACACACACACACACACACTCTCTCTCTCTCTTAAAACCCCAAATTAATTTCCACGAGCTAGGCACTTACACACCTGTACCTGACATAGATGGACACAGTATACCATAAAGGCGGCTCATCTGTGTAGCAGGGCGAGAATAACCACCCTTAAGGAGACTCGCAGGGAGGTGGGTGGTTAACACTATCTTGTCCCGGCAATTAGTAAAGTGGGCTCGGGTGTAACAGGACAAGTATTCACTGGTGTTAAAGAAGGGTTTTGTCTCTTTTTCTCTCTCATTTCTAATCAAACTCTCTTAGTTCTCGTCTATCAACAGCACATGTTTTTAATCCTGTCTGGAGAGGGGAGAGGATAATGGCACACTAACAGACAGAGAAGACTGACATACAACCCCCCCCCACACAACCCCACACACCCAACTCCCCACACACCACCCCCACCTGCCCCACACTGTACACACACACATGCCCCCCACACACACACCCCCCACACACATGCAACCCCACACACATCCCACACACACACCTCCCCACACAGCCCCACCCCACCACCTGGCCCCCCACACACACACACACACACAACCCCACACACACAGCCCCCCCACACACAGCCCCCCCACACACAACCCCACACACACACACAACCCCCCCCACACACAGCCCCACACTGAGCCCCCCACACACTCACCCCACACACACAAGCCCCACACACACACAGCCCCACACAACCCCCACACACAGCCCCCCACACACACAACCCCACACACACAACCCCCCACACACACAACCCCCACACACACACACACAACCCCCACACACTAGCCCCCACACACACACCCCCCACACACACACACAACCCCCACACACACACAACCCCCACACACACAACCCCCCACACACACAACCCCCACACACAGCCCTCCCCACACACACACTACTACTTTGCCGTCACTGGTAATCGAGGCTGACAATCATCCAGCTATGATACAATGATCTGAGTTATTAAGGATGTCACCTACAGTAGGTTGGTGAGTTCTGGGGTGACTAAAGAGGCCGATACGGGACCGGCAGAGTCGTCCACAGATGTTGCACGTGTGGGGGGCTACATCTAGTGCGGGAGGGGCGGCGGCAGCGTATTTCCGGCGTTGGCGCTTGTCTGCCTCGATATACAGTCGGGTTAACTCGAAAGTATTGACACCTTCTCGTGTGGTGCTCCTCCAAGCGTTACGGTGTGCAGTAATCGTCTCCCAGGTGAGGGGGTCCATTTGGCACCTTTTCAGGTTTGTCTTAAGACTATCTTTATACCTTTTCAGTTGGCCGCCAGCGTTACGTTTACTATTCGTTAGGTGACTGTAAAGTAGCTGCTTTGGCAGTCTACTGTCGTCCATGTGGGCAACATGGTCAGTCCAGCGTAGTTGTTCATGGATAATGGTAGCCTCGATGCTCCTACAGTTGGTGTCAGCAAGAATACTGGCATTTGTTCTCTTGTCTTCCCAGCGAACTCGGAGGCACCTACCTAGTAGGCAACTACCAAACAGGGAGGTACTACCGCCTGGGAAGATATAGGAAGCATAATGTGTTGTGTAATGGTAGACCCTGCTGCCATGTGGCCAGGTTGATGATCTGACTTTCTGCCTCATTTACACACAGGGTCTCAATTGTTTCACTGACAACACAACACAACAAACACATATTGTTTCTCACTCTTGATCTCTTTTAATGTTTATATTTCTTTATGGTTCATTATTTTTATTATTATTACATTCCCCCCCCGCCCCCTCCAGGCCCGGGTACTCAGTACCACCACCACCTGCCCCCCTGCCCTCCAGGCCCCGGTGGGTCAGTGACCTGTGCCAACACTCAGTACCACCACCACACTGCCCCCCCCCCCTCCAGGCCCGGGTACTCAGTACCACCACCACACTGGAGGAAGCATAACAATCCGAGACGCTTTATCTGACCCGGCGGTTCTTAGTGCACTGTGGTAGACGATATGTGTCTCGGACTGTTGTGTGGTCACTCATACACTCGTGATTTTCTTAAAGTTCAATTATAAATAAATATTTTTACTTCAATTACAATTTAATTAACGAGAATATTATATCTAGATGATGATAATGTGATGTTGTAATGTTATATCTCGTTAATATATGATTTTAAAACATTTTTCCCCTAACCTGAATTACTCGGTGTAATGGCGATCAGCACCTCAATATTTGTTCTCAAATTATCATCTTATTTAATCAATTTATGGGAAATACTGATGATTGGTGTTTAATTCAATATCTTACCTTCCTGTCAGACATGTTTGATGGTTCTGCTGTTGTGTAGTGTTGTCAAAAACTCTTAATAACTGAGAGAGGGAGAAGCAGCACCCAACTAGTCAACACAAGGCTCCTTCAGTCAGTTTACAAGAGCATAAAATAAACAAGTAAAAAACGTTTATCTCTTCTTTCGTTTATTTATTCTATTTATATAATTATCACATAATATTTTATCATAATTTGTGATTTTTAATAATAATCCAATCAGTAAATAAAAAATTCACGCTGTTCTAATTCATTATTTATGTCATAGAAAAGAATCAATATATTACCTATAATTTACCTTCACATATTACTATTAAACTATTATTCTAGTGTCATATAATACATCTAAAAACAATAATATAGGAAAAATAAAACTCAATATATAAATAAATATTGGCGGATTTATTATTTTACAGAGTATTTTACAATATTTCCTGTGAACAAAAATAAGTGTTTAGAAAGGCAGAAGTCTACACAGGTCAATAGTACTGTAAAACATGGACTAACAATTGCTATAATTACCTTAAGAGGAATATTGCATGGCTGATATAGAGAGAGGGAGAGAGAGGGGGAGAGAGGGAGAGGGAGAGGGAGAGGGACGGGGAGGCATAGTAAGCATTGAACCTTTACCAGGATGGCGTCCCCTGTTGGCAGTTCTGGCCTGACCAACATACGCAATATATAAAGCACCTTCGGCGTATCCCAGCGAGCTAATTATTACGGAAAAAATGAATCGTTATAAATAATCATTACTTTAATTAACTACAGAAGACGTAGTTTATTGCGTCTAACCTAAAATTAAAGTATGGAACCCTTTTTAGGACCTTCTTTTAGGTATTTAAGGAATATAAACAGCGGGGAACAGCCTAGCAGACCACAACTGTTGAAAGACGGAAGCGTAGAGAGAAAAATTGGTTTAATTCTTACTTTTCTCGTAATAGGGATTTTATTCTAACCTTAAATCCTTAAAATAATTATAATTCTTAAAAAAAAATAAAATCCCTTATCTTAACCCACCCAAAAAATAATTATTATTCTCAAAAACGCGTAGAATAATATTGAAATACTGAAGAAAAAAATATTAAAACACAAAAATGACTAAATTCTACTTTTCTAAGCATTTTGTGAACTTGAAAAATTTGTTCTTGATTCTTAACGTCAATTTAGCCATTACAAATTTAATATATCATTATAGAAAAAAAAATATGAATATTAATATTCCTTTATCGTTACAAATATTCATAATGTTCTGTTAAGATTTAATTTAATCTTGTAAACTTTAAAGAGATTTTAACAGCCCAGCATACATTAATCATTTGTATGTGACGTCAACACACCTCACTATATCACGGAGTAGTAAAATTTTATGCATAAACATTAATTCATTTATTTTAGATTATGAACCAATTTATTCGTTATAAATGAGATTCAGTTTAATTAATTTAATTTTGTTTTGTATTTTGGTTTATTTCTTGTGATTAGAGATATTTGAAGGAAAATAATCTCACTTATATAACCCGGATGAATGGTAGTGACTACATCTGACAGTGTTGCCAATACCAGCTGTCCGCCACACCATGGTAAGCTAGCAGGAGTATTGTTGTTGTTTTGGCACACACGTCTACAAGAACGTCCTAATAACCTTCCCAGACCCTAACCTAACCAATCTGAGTCTAGTTGGTGAAATTAAATAAATACACAATAAATAGCGTAGTAATAAATATCTAAGATGGATAATTAGTTCAATAAATAATATAAGAGTTTCTAATAAGATCACGGTGATATTGTCTCGTTTTTGTGACTTGGTAATACTGAACATGATCTTATCTTGGGGTGTATTTAATGGAATGGTCGACAGTGCCAAGTGAAGGACTGGTATAATAAAATAAGGCTTAATACGGCCCTACTATACTTAATTATAGTTAGACCTGATAAAGTTCGTTGTTTAAATTATCCAAGAGTTATATTATAATTTTATCCTATAAGTAATGAGAGAGTTTAACGAATCGTGGTGATGTCTCATGGGGGAATTTTAAAATCAGTTTGACAGCCACAGTTATCAATTCTCCCATTACAGTTTAGGGGATAAAATATATAAATATCTCTGAGAATTATAATCAGGTCTTTTTTTTTTAATATACAAGTACATAGACTCAACGCCTAGAAACAGTTCCTTTAAGCATGGGAGCTGTCTGTACAAGGGGGCCCATTGAAAGGCCAATTACACGCTGTGATGCCCGAGTCGTATACAATGGTAATGGGACAATCGAACACATGAAGAGTGAACCTTTCTATCCACTTGTCCCAATAACACTCGTAGAACTTATCACAGGTATCAGGGTGCCGGAAGAGCCCTGCCCTCTCACACACTTCAGGTCCTAAGGTGTCATCAAAGTCCCTGCGTCCTCCAGGTCCGAATCTGTTGAACTTCCTGCCGCCCTTGGTGAGTTTAGCCACGAGTGAAGGACCTCCCGTCACGGACTTGCGGGATCCTACGCCTCTCGGTTTTCCAACAGTAGATTTCCCGCCAGGATTTGATAGCCCAGTGAAGGGGTTTGAAGGGTAGGACTTAATAGGACCTCCAGGAATCACTCCACCTACACCGCCGCCTGATCCACCGCTGCCTCCTGATCCACCCCTGCCGCCATGGCCCCCTGATCCACCAAATCCACCACTGCTTCCTGATCCACCTTGGCTTCCTGATCCACCTTGACCTCCTGATCCACTATATCCACCACGGCCTCCTAATCCACCTTGGCCTCCTGATCCATCGCTGCCTCCTGATCCACCGTTGCCGCCATGACCCCCTGATCCACCAAATCCACCACGGCCTCCTGATCTGACCTGATCCACCTTGGCCTCCTGATCCACTATATCCACCACTGCTTCCTGATCCACCACGGCCTCCTGACCCACCGCGGCCTCTGATCCACCAATACTAAAGTGACCCGTCCCACTTGATGATCCACCGCTTCCTGATCCACCGCTGCCTCCAGATCCACCATTACCTGATCCACCAATGCCTCCTGATCCACTGATCCACCGTGACTGCCTGATCCATCGCGGCCACCTGATCCACCCCGGCCTCCTGATCCACCGCGGCCTCCTGATCCACTATGACCTGATCCACCACTGCCTCCTGATCCACTATAACTTCCTGATCCACCGCTTCCTCCTAATCCACCAAGGCCTCCTGATCCACTCTGACCTGATCCATTACTGCCTCCTGATCCACCACGGCCTCCTGATCCACCACTGCCTCCTGATCCACTATAACTTCCTGATGCACTGCTTCCTCCTAATCCACCACGGCCTCCTGATCCACCAATGCCTCCTGATCCACCGTTGCCTCCTGATCCACCAATACTAAGTGACTTGTCCCACTTGAAGATCCACTACTTCCTGATCCACCGTGACCAGATCCACTATGACCTGATCCACTATAACTTCCTGATCCACCGCGGCCTCTTGAACCACCGCGGCCTCCTGATCCACCACTTTCTCCTGATCCACCATGACCTGACCCACCGCTTCCTCCTGATCCACCGCTGCCTCCTGATCCACCAATACTAAAGTGACTCGTTCCACTTGATCCACTACTTCCTAATCCACCATGACCTGATCCACCACTGCCTCCTGATCCACCACGGCTTCCTGATCCACCACGGCCTCTTGATCCACTATGTCCTGATCCACCACTGCCTCTATATCCACTATAACTTCCTGATCCACCGCTTCCTCCTGATCCACCACTGCCTCCTGATCCACTCTGACCTGATCCACCACTGCCTCCTGATCCACCAACACTAAAGTGACTCGTCCCACTTGAAGATCCACTACTTCCTGATCCACCGTGACCTGATGCACTATGACCTGCTCCACCAATGCCTCCTGATCCACCAGTGCCGCCTGATCCACTATAACTTCCTGATCCACTATGACCTGATCCACCACTTCCTCCTGATCCACCGCGGCCTCTTGATCCACTCTGACCTGATCCACCACTGCCTCCTGATCCACCAACACTAAAGTGACTTGTCCCACTTGAAGATCCACTACTTCCTGATCCACCGTGACCAGATCCACTATGACCTGATCCACTATAACTTCCTGATCCACCGCGGCCTCTTGAACCACCGCGGCCTCCTGATCCACCACTTTCTCCTGATCCACCATGACCTGACACACCGCTTCCTCCTGATCCACCGCTGCCTCCTGATCCACCAATACTAAAGTGACTCGTTCCACTTGATCCACTACTTCCTAATCCACCATGACCTGATCCACCACTGCCTCCTGATCCACCACGGCTTCCTGATCCACCACGGCCTCTTGATCCACTATGTCCTGATCCACCACTGCCTCTATATCCACTATAACTTCCTGATCCACCGCTTCCTCCTGATCCACCACTGCCTCCTGATCCACTCTGACCTGATCCACCACTGCCTCCTGATCCACCAACACTAAAGTGACTCGTCCCACTTGAAGATCCACTACTTCCTGATCCACCGTGACCTGATGCACTATGACCTGCTCCACCAATGCCTCCTGATCCACCAGTGCCGCCTGATCCACTATAACTTCCTGATCCACTATGACCTGATCCACCACTTCCTCCTGATCCACCGCGGCCTCTTGATCCACTCTGACCTGATCCACCACTGCCTCCTGATCCACCAACACTAAAGTGACTCGTCCCACTTGAAGATCCACTACTTCCTGATCACCGTGACCTGATCCACTATGACCTGCTCCACCAATGCCTCCTGATCCACTATAACTTCCTGATCCACTATGACCTGATCCACCACTTCCTCCTGATCCACCGCTTCCTCCTGATCCACCACTGCTTCCTGATCCACCAATACTAGTGACTCGTCCCAGTTGAAGATCCACTACTTCCTGATCCACCGTGACCTGATCCACTATGACCTGATCCACCAGTGCCTCCTGATCCACTATAACTTCCTGATCCACTATGACCTGATCCACCACTTCCTCCTGATCCACCACTGCCTCCTGATCCACCACTACTGAAGTGACTCGTCCCACTTGAGGATCCACTACTTCCTGATCCACCAATGCCTCCTGAACCACTATAACTTTCTGATCCACCGTGACCTCCTGATCCACCGCGGCCACCTGATCCACCGCGGCCTCCTGATCCACCGCGGCTTCCTGATCCACCACTGCCTCCTGATCCACCGCGGCCTCTTGATCCACTATAACCTGATCCACCACTGCCTCCTGATCCACCAATACTAAAGTGACTCGTCCCACTTGATCCACTACTTCCTGATCCACCGTGACCTGATCCACTATGACCTGATCCACCAGTGCCTCCTGAACCACTATAACTTCCTGATCCACTATGATCTGATCCACCACTTCCTCCTGATCCACCGCTTCCTGATCCACCACTGCCTCCTGATCCACCAATACTGAAGTGACTCGTCCCACTTGAAGATCCACTACTTCCTGATCCACCGTGACCTGATCCACTGACCTGATCCACCACTACTTCCTGATCCACTATATCACCGCGCTTCCTGATCCACCACTGCCTCCTGATCCACCGCGGCCTCTTGATCCACTATGACCTGCTCCACCACTGCCTCCTGATCCACCAATACTAAAGTGACTCGTCCCACTTGATCCACTACTTCCTGATCCACCGTGACCTGATCCACTATGACCTGATCCACCACTACTTCCTGATCCACTAAATCCCCCGCGGCTTCCAGATCCACCGCTTCCTCCTGATCCACCGCTGCCTCCTGATCCACCACGGCCTCTATATCCACTTCCTGATCCACCAGCTCCTGTTGATCCACTGCCAGTTCTAGAATGGCTAAATCCACTAGAGAAACTGCTGCTGCCTGATCCACCACTCCCTCCTGATCCATCACTGCCGCCTGATCCACCATGACCTGATCCACCACTGCCTCCTGATCCACCAATGCCTCGTGATCCACCAATGCCTCGTGATCCATCAATGCCTTCTGATCCACTATAACTTCCTGATCCACCAATACTAAAGTGACTCACTCCACTTGATGATCCACTGCTTCCTGATCCACTATATCCACCACTGCCTCCTGATCCACCGCGGCCTGCTGATCCACCGCGGCCTCCTGATCCACCGCCACTTCCTGATCCACCATGACTTCTTAATCCACCACTGCCTCCTGATCCACCACGGCCTCCTGATCCACCGTGACTTCCTGATCCACTATAACTTCCTGATCCACCACTGTCTCCTGATCCACCAGCTCCTGTTGATCCACTGCCAGTTCTAGGTGGCTAAATCCACTAGAGAAACTGCTGCTGCCTGATCCACCACTGCCTCCTGATCCACCATGACCTGATCCACCACGACCTCCTGATCCATCAATGCCTTCTGATCCACTATAACTTCCTGATCCACCAATACTAAAGTGACTCACTCCACTTGATGATCCACTGCTTCCTGATCCACTATATCCACCACTGCCTCTTGATCCACCGCGGCCTCCTGACCCACCGCTTCCTCCTGATCCACCACGGTCTCCTGATCCACCACTGCCTCCTGATCCACCATGACCTGATCCACCACTGCCTGATCCACCGCGGCCTCCTGACCCACCGCTTCCTCTTGATCCACCACGGTCTCTTGATCCACCACTGCCTCCTGATCCACCATGACCTGATCCACCACTGCCTCCTGATCCACCAATACTAAAGTGGCTCACTCCACTTGAAAATCCACTACCTTCTGATCCATCGTGACTTCCTGATCCACTATAACTTCCTGATCCACCACTGCCTCCTGATCCACCACCCCCTCCTGATCCACCACGGCCTCCTGATCCACCATGACTTCCTGATCCACCACTGCCTCCTGATCCACCACTCCCTCCTGATCCACCACGGCCTCCTGATCCACCATGACTTCCTGATCCACCGCTACCTCCTGATCCGCCACCAATTGTGAAATGACTTGATCCACGGTGATCCTCTTCAGAAGAATCCGATCCACCATATTTACCTGAGTGCCCACGTGCCTCTACGGACTGAACACTGTTGCTAGAACCGCGTGAAGAGCCTGTAGAACCGCTTGGGCTGAGGGGATCGAACGTTTTCCCACCTGATGGCGGTTCATAGACATAGCCAGTTGTCTGAGAACCTGTCGAACCCCCAGAACCAGAGGAATGACCTGTAGAACCAGAGAAGTGGCTTGAACCTGAACCAGCAGAACCAGAGAAATGACCTGTACCTGAACCAGCAGAACTAGAAAAGTGGCTTGAACCTGAACCAGCAGAACCAGAGAAGTGGCTTGAACCTGAACCAGCAGAACCAGAGAAATGACCTGTACCTGAACCAGCAGAACTAGAAAAGTGGCTTGAACCTGAACCAGCAGAACCAGAGAAGTGGCTTGAACCTGAACCAGCAGAACCAGAGAAGTGGCTTGAACCTGAACCAGCAGAACCAGAGAAGTGGCTTGAGCCTGAACCAGCAGAACCAGAGAAGTGGCTTGAACCTGAACCAGCAGAACCAGAGAAATGACCTGTACCTGAACCAGAGGACCCAGGTATCAGATTAAATGGCACATCTGGTTCCTGATATGAGTAGCCTCCAGTGGGCTTGATCTGAGAAGGCGTGGGTGTGGGTCGAGGTCTTGAAGGTTCGTAAATTGTGTTCGGTTTAGGTCTGGATGGTCTTGGCTTGTAACTGGGTGTTGGTGTTGGTCGGGCTGGGGTTTCGTAACTGGGAGATGGTGTTGGTCGGGGAGGAGTCGGTGGTCTGTATGTCAGGGATGTGGTCGGTTTGGGTCTGCGTGAGGTCGGTCGGGGTCTGCGTGTGGTGGTTATGATCGGGCGAGGCGGTCTGTATGTTGGGGATGTGGTCGGACGAGAGGGTCTGTATGTCGGGGATGTGGTTGGACGAGAGGGTTTGTATGTCGGGGATGTGGTTGGACGAGAGGGTTTGTATGTCGGGGATGTGGTTGGACGAGAGGGTTTGTATGTCGGGGATGTGGTTGGACGAGAGGGTTTGTATGTCGGGGATGTGGTCGGTTGGGGTCTGCGTGAGGTCGGTCGGGGTCTGCGTGTGGTCGGGCGAGGCGGTTTGTAGGTGGAGGGAGAGACGGGGCGAGGCGCTAGGGTGAAAGCTGGAGTCTGTTCGGTTACAAAGGTGAAAGGGCTAGCTGGGGTCTGATACGAGTACCCGCTTGTTGAATCATCCTCACTTGAAGACGGAGTTGTGGGTCTGGATGGAGGTCTGGATGAGGGTCTGGATGAGGGCTGAGACGAAGAGCCTGTAGAGGAACTTACAGGATCGAAAGATGTGGTTGGAGGTGTGTAGGAGTAGCCTGAAGAGGGCCGTGGTGTAGGTGGTCGTGGGTACTCGTAACCTCCTTCGTCAGAGCTCTCGGCAGACTCGGGGTCGTAGGGTTTTGGCCGAGTGTATGATCCTCCTGTTGGTCTCGTTCGTGATGTGCTTGAGACGAATGGATCAAAGGACTCGTCAGGCTTAGAGTAAGAATACCCACCTGAAGAAGGCGTTGTGAAGCCGCTACCGCCAGATGAGGTACTCTGGCTGTGGGAGGAAGGCCTTGGTGTCTGGTACCCTGAGGAGGTGTGAGGGCGAGATAATGAAGGGGCTGACGTGATAGGAGAGGGTCTTGACACCGTGATAGAGCTGGCTGGGCCGAAGGGGGTGCTGGGGGGAGTATAGGAATATCCTGACGTAGGCCGTGAGGTCCCTGAAGGCGCTGAAGGAGTATAGGCTGATTCCTCTGATGAGGACTCTGGGAATGAAGCAGCAGGAGAATGGTCGAAGGGCGTTGAGGGCGGGGAATAAGAGTATCCTGTAGTAGGTCGAGGAGTAGGGCCGGGGGTGTAGGCGGTGGAGGGTCTACGGGTTCCTGAAGTAGTCCTAACAGTAGCCCTGGTAGTAGATGGTGGAGAGTAGGAGTAGCCTGATGTAGTAGGTTTTGCTGTAGGTGTTGGCGTGTACACATTTACTGGCACAGGTCCTGGGGTGATGGAGGAGGAGGAGGTGTAGGGTGGTGACGAAGTTCGTCTTGTACCTGATGGTCTGGCTGTAGGTGCTGGGTCGAATGGCGTTGACGGAGCCGTGTAGTCGTATCCTGAAGAAGACGCTGAAGAAGAAGGTCGACGGGAAGAAGGTCGACGGGAAGAAGGTCGACTGGAAGACTGGGAAGCTGTTGGGTCGAAGGTCTGCCGGGGCGGTGTATAATCATAACCTGGGGTGGTGGGTGGTGCAGGGGAAGGCAGGGTGTCAGTGGCTGGGGCGCTGTACTCATAAGCAGGAGCTGTGGTGGCTGGCCTACTGAAGGACCCTCGGCCACTGGTAGTTCCTGAGCCCTGTGAAGAGCCTGAGTGTCCGCTAAACTGACCTGATGAACCTGACTTTCCGCTAAACTGACCTGATGAACCTGACTTTCCACTAAACTGACCTGAAGAGCCTGAATGTCCGTCATACTGACCTGATGAACCTGACTGTCCACCAAATTGACCTGATGAACCTGAGTGTCCACCAAACTGGCCTGAAGAGCCTGACTGTCCACCAAATTGACCTGATGAACCTGAGTGTCCACCAAACTGGCCTGAAGAGCCTGACTGTCCACCAAATTGACCTGATGAACCTGACTGTCCACCAAACTGGCCTGAAGAGCCTGAATGTCCGTCATATTGACCTGATGAACTGGATGTCCACCAAATTGACCTGATGAACCTGAGTGTCCACCAAACTGGCCTGAAGAGCCTGACTGTCCACCAAACTGACCTGATGAACCTGACTGTCCACCAAACTGGCCTGAAGAGCCTGAATGTCCGTCATATTGACCTGATGAACCTGACTGTCCACCAAACTGACCTGAAGAGCCTGAATGTCCGTCATGTGTTACAATCGAACCTGAATGTGTGGGTGACTCTAGTGGACATTTATCACCAAGCAGCCTGATGAACCTGACTGTCCACCAAACTGACCTGAAGAGCCTGAATGTCCGTCATATTGACCTGATGAACCTGACTGTCCACCAAATTGACCTGATGAACCTGACTGTCCACCAAACTGGCCTGAAGAGCCTGAATGTCCGTCATATTGACCTGATGAACCTGACTGTCCACCAAACTGACCTGATGAACCTGAGTGTCCACCAAACTGGCCTGAAGAGCCTGACTGTCCACCAAGCAGCCTGGTATGAATGTCGTCATACTGACCTGATGAGCCTGACTGTCACCAAATGGCCTGAAAACACCTGAATGTCATCATATTATTACAAGTAGACTGGGCCTCCCACCAAACTGACCTGATGAACCTGAGTGTCCACCAAACTGACCTGATGAACCTGAATGTCCACCAAACTGACCTGAAGAGCCTGAATGTCCACCAAACTGACCTGATGAACCTGAATGTCCGTCATATTGACCTGATGAACCTGAATGTCCATCATATTGACCTGAAGAGCCTGTCCGTCCACCAAACTGACCTGAAGAGCCACCACCAGTCTGTTTGTCCCGGCCTCTGTAACCGCCTCGACCCCCGGTGTTGTTGTCAGAGAATAAAGCTTGTCCTGACGCAACATAGTTCTTGTAAGAGAGTCGCTCGTCACTCTGTTCAGTTGAGATGATAAGACCTTTCTCCACGTTGTACACACCTTTGCCTCTGATGGTCAATTCCGCAGAGCCACAGTTGATGCAGCTCTCACTACTACTACTACCGTCATGAAGGCTCTGAATGGCTGCGTTTCCTCTGCCGATATTCTTGCCTCTTCCTCCTCTACCTCCTCCTCCTGCTATCAAGTCCACACTGACAGGGGCAGCACCAGTGTCCACGTTATATCTGCCAGGTGCCTGACCACTGAGGCCACACGAGCTCACCAGCCAGGGCCAGTTACAGATGCCGTTAGCTTCATCGTACGCCAGACCAAACGGACACCGGAACTCATACTGCATATAAGTACCATTACCATAATAGTCCCTACAGGCGAAGAACCACCGGCAGTTCTCCGGGTCAGTGAAATAACCTTCTCCGGGGCAGATGAACTTCTTGCGGGGGACGGGGAAGATCTCAGAGGAGCCATCGCAGGGAGGAGCCGCTGAGGGCCAGGCGCAGACCTCCCAGCGGTCGTCGAACACCAGACCATGGGGGCAGGAGTACTCGAACACCGTAAAGTCGTCTACGTACTGATCGAACTTGACGCAGCGGTAGAAATGGGAACAGTCAGTAGGGTCGCGGTAGTACCCCTGGCGTGAACACTCAAAGCGGGAGTCTGAGTTGTCTCTGTTACGAATACAAACATTGTTATGAGTTTAATTATGACCAAGATTGATATTATTCTTTGTAGATATTTGGCCTGTACACAGCCTTTTGACTAACACGTCTGACCTCTTGTCCCCAATATATTTTTATTATACTTTTAATATATTACATCCCCAATACCTTTAAGCCTGCTTGTCTGTTTACTTTTTTATTCTTACATCCCAACATATTTTTGACCCTATTTTTGGCCTTCTCTTTTATTGCTTACACCCCAGCCTGCTTTTTAACCTGCTTTTAATATTCTTACCTTTATTGCCTTGCCCAGCCTTCTTACACCCCCAGCCTGTTTATTCCCCAACCCAGCCCAACCTAACCTAACCTAACAAACCAATATCCTCACCTGTAAGCCTTAATTGCACCTGTTCTGTCAACGACCCTAACAATCCTGAAGGGTGAGTTACGGAAGTCCCCAGGGGCAGCGGCGAGAGACACGGCGTTGAAAGATGACTCCTCGGCTTCTAGATCCTCCACTAGGCTCTGAAGGAGGGCCCGTCGTGGGGTCCTGGCCAGCTGTAATGGAGGAGGTTAAGTTAGGTTAGGGGTGGGTTAGATTAGGAGTGGGTTAGGTTAGGAGTGGGTTAGGTTAGGGGTAGGTTAGGTTAGGTTAGGGATAGTGTTTACATTAAGGTTCACATGACCTTAAATGAATCCTTTTGTATGTATGTATGTATGTATGTATGTATGTATGTATGTATGTATATATGTGTGTATGTATGTATGTATGTATGTGTGTATGTGTGTATGTATGTATGTATGTATGTATGTATGTATGTATGTATGTACTGATCCACACTAAAATAATCAACTATATGGGAGAAACTAACTAAAATCAACACACCTGTGGCTACCTGTAAAACCTGTGGCTAATTAGTACCTGGGTGAAGGTGTCGAAGATGGTAGTGAGGATAGGGTGAGGTCCCTGGCCACATTCCTCCTCCCAGTCCTCTTGATCAAGGTCGTGTAAGGAGGCACCAGCAAGACCCCTCAGTAACACGTATTTACTCTGTCGATAAATACAGTAAATTGATATATATGTCCACAGGATTAATTAAGTAGAGTAATTAGTTGATAAATGCCTCAAGGATGATGATTATGTCAGCAGAATTAATTACAAGATTATAGAGTGCTGGTATATTACTGCTATATGGAGACTCACTTACCTATCTCTTGAATAAAACGTAGGAATATATTAAACAGTGACGATATAGAAGTTAATTAATAATACAATTTTATGCCTCACTTGATAGCCTCTGAGATGAGAAAATGGTGTTGTTTCTCTTATGGTGAAAATGGTGATTATTTTACCCAAAGACTCTACTCTAAGTCTCTGTATAAGTCGAGGGAAAGAATTAACACTGAGATTTTCCATTTATGATTCGATTTGTTTTACTTTCCTTGTTTAGTTCAGGTAAATCTAAACAGGTGAACTAAACATGGCCCTCAGACCATAACAAAAACCACATACACTGACAGACACACACACACACACACACAGACACACACACACACATCTGCCCACAGTCCGCTAGTCAAACGTACAGGATTCTGAAGTCATGAACTGAAGTCTTCTTGTCTCATCATCTGACTGATTCACTGTTGTCATAAACTGTTCTCCCTATGTCATAAAACATCCACCACAGGTAAAGGCTCTTTCTTCAGAGGCCCTCTCTCAAAAAGTGTCGTGGTGATGAGGTCGTTGTCGTGGCCGGCAGGTAAGTACTGGAGCTTCAACCATGTCCTGTAGTCGTCTGATAGGTCGTGGTGAGAGGTCGTTGTCTCCCACCTTAATCTTAACGCTGATAGGGTCGTCGAAGGCTATCCAGGAGTCGTTGAAGAAGGCGTAGGGCCCAGTAAGGTCTTCATCTCTCTCTACCGTCCAGTTCCCTGCCGCCATCATGGTACACGCCTACAGGAGGAAAGCAAAGGTAAATACATCTTCCTACCTGAGCCAATCACCCCTCAAACACGTACAATTACTCCTAAAATCCCTAATTAATGAGACATGGAGTTACTTTTGGGTGAGGTGTGATATATAAGACACGGGGTATACCTATAAGACACGGGGTATACCTATAAAACACGGGGTAAACCTATAAGACACGGGGTATACCTATAAGACACGGGGTATACCTATAAGACACGGGGTATACCTATAAGACACGGGGTATACCTATAAGACACGGGGTAAACCTATAAGACACGGGGTAAACCTATAAAACACGGGGTAAACCTATAAGACACGGGGTATACCTGAGGATAAGACGTAAAGATGGGAGTGTCAAGAGCAGGTGAACGAGGAATGTTGAGTTCAGGATCTTGTAGAGTGAAGACTGCAGCAGAGGCGGGAACACCCAGCACTAGATGATCAAGAGGAACACCCAGGCTTACTACCAGGTCCACTAGCGAGTCCTGCAACACGTGGTAATATATCAGTCCTTGCAACACGGGTAAATATATCAACCAAATCCTTGCAACACATGTAAATATATCAACCAGTCCTTGCAACACATGTAAATACTATATCAACGAGCCCTATAAAACACACACACACACACACACACACACACACACACAATAAACGTACAGCATTTTGCAGATCAGAGACGCCCATGAGCCGAGAATGGTGGTAGGTCTCCATCTTAGTGTCGCCTCTGTGTTGGCTCGTCAGGTTATGGGTAGGAAGGCTGAAGAGGTCAACGATCCTGTAGTAAAGAGAGAGATTTGTTATTGTTATTGGTTATTTTTGGTGTTATTGTGAACTGTTTTGTGTTATTGTGAAGTGTTATTGTAAACTATTAATGTTCACAACCAATAAATAACAAAGAACATCACACTCACTTCGTCAGGGCCTTCAGATCATAACCCTTAACTATATATTCAGGGTAAGGGGCGACTGTCATCATTAACAAGGTGGTTGGGATTTTACGAGGTGATTCAAGTGTTTCCCCTTCTGGTTGTTGGTGTTCCTGGTCCCTCACACCATCCAGGTCTCCTCTTCTTGACGTCTTGGCGATTCTCCAACCTGTGGTGTTCGATGGTGAGGCGGTTGTGGTAGGGATTCCATCTACGTTGAAATAATCCTGGAAAAGGGGGATTTATTATGAGGATGGGATTAATTTTAGCTGAGTTATGGTTTTATTATTATGGTTCATTATAAAAGAGTAGAATTTATCTTCTCTGAGTTAAGATTCCAATAATATGCTTAAGGGAAGGATTTATATTATTAAAAAAAATCCAGTATTATCATATCTAAATCATGAAATACTTGAAGATAAAACTAAATATATACAGATCATGATAACAAATAATACTAATATACTGAAACACATTACAAAACAACACAGTGTAGATTATAACACTGTGATGGGGAGGAAAACTGAGGCGAAAGATTTCCAACGTTAAGCAGAGTAGAGACGAGTTTTCTAGAGCACAGACTACGAGACGGAAATTAAGATCGTGGGAGGTGTTAGTGTTTATTGATGACTTACTTGTGCTTTATGAGTTACCGATGTTGTCTCATACATACATACAGACATATATTAACATACGTACTGGCTTATTTATACACATACAGACACATACTCAAACAGGGGTCTTGGTGCTGTTTGAGTGTGGGATCTCTGTTGGCCATCTGATACCTGTCCCAATTCTGCTTTTTCTATTATCCATATTCTTCCTTCGTTCTCTCTATCACCCTCTCCTGTTTATCCCCTCTCTCCCTCTCCCCATCTACCCAGGAAGAGACAACACCGATAACATCATGAAGCAACAAACAACATCAACAAACACAAGAACAACTACAAAAGGAATTTACGCGTGTGGTGAAACAAACAAACAAACACTACGACAGATTGAGGGGAACAAAAACTCAGCGGATGTGTGTGGTGGTAAAAGAGTGCGTGGTTAGCCCCCCCAAAAAATAGAGGACACGCACTCACGCACTCACACACACACTTAACGCCTTCCTACTCACTCTGAATTTAACTCGCCCTCGGGAGGTGAGTACATGTGACTTTGAGTACGTGTTGGAGTCCTTGTTCTCTTTCTTTTCCTTGATGGCCTCCACCTTGAGCCTTACCTCATTCTCGGGGGGTTGGAGGGTGACCTCATACTCAGAGCCGACCTCCAACTCCAGGTAGTCAAGACCCATACTGGAAGAAGGTCTAGAGGGGTTATTATAATGTGAGAGTAAAATTACTATCAATGCATAAATGTGTGTGTGTGAAAGAGAGACACACACACACACACACAGTAAACCTAACCTAACCACACATCCCGTAACATAAACACATTAGGAAACATTATATTGAGCTTAAACATAAACCAGAAATAAACTAATGGACTTGATACAGTGAACTCTCTATATAACGGACTTTGATCTCTCTATATAACGGACTTTGATCTCTCTACAGTTCGTTAAATGGAATAAAAAAAATGATGTTAATTAATAAAGTTTGTAGTGTTACTTATAATTAATGTTAAATGAGGTTAATTTTGTTGTAGTTTTTTATGATAGATTACAGTGATACGTACATGTCCTCCTGTGTGGCGAAGGTGGTTAACACATCTTCAGTGACGACCATCGCCTCCAGGGGCAAGATAGTCGTCATGTGACCCAGAGTGGTAGGTTGAAGGGTCGTGGATTGGGGGGTCGTGGATTGGGGGGTCGTGGATTGGGGGGTCGTGGATTGGGGGGTCGTGGATTGGGGGGTCGTGGGTTGGAGGGTGGTGGGCAACAGAGTAGTGGGCTCCAGGGTAGTGGTGGGTTCATCCTCTTCTGTTACCTCTCTGCGACTGACGCTGTGGACTCGTTGATCCAGAACAAGTCGTAGTACCTGAAACACAGCCATATTAGTTCCTCCTCCTTTAGCCTCGCCCTTAGGATATATGAGATAGTTTGACCTTCAGATGATAAGCCTGAGGGGGGTGGGGTTAGGTTAGATTAGGTCACATGAGGTCAGGTCATGTCAGGTCACCTTCATAAGTGTGTTGACATCCTCCTTGTCCTTATGACCTGGAGACTGACCCGGCCATCGCCAGTCCACCTCGATACCGTCCACTTTACTCTGAAGAAGGAAGGCATCTGCGGCCTCTGTGAAGTTCGCCACTCCTTCTACTGACGAAGTGATGAGGGAGAAGGTCTCGGACTTGACGCTGCTCCCTCCCAACGACGCCACCACCTTCAGGTACGGGTTCACTTTCTTCAGGTCGTGTAGCTCAGCGAAGTCTGGATATAACACAGGTGATGTAATTAATACCTGTCCACACCTGTTATTAATACCTATCCACACCTGTTATTAATACCTGTCTACACCTGTTATTAATACCTGTCCATACCTGTTATTACACTCATACATGCTGAATCAACACCATACATCCGTGGTGATTGGTGGCTCGGGAGGTGGGTGGGAGGAGGAGGTCCAATTGGTCGACTCACAGACACACTAATGAACCTAATTAGCCAAATGAATTACCGATCTGATGTTATTTACCTCCCGGGAACTGACTTACCTGGAATACTTGATGAGGGGGAGAGGGGGGGGAATGGAGGGGAAAAATCCAGGCGAGTGGGGAGGAGGGAGGGGCATGATTAAGGAGGAGGGGGAGGAGGAGAAGGAGGGAGGAGAGAGGGAGGAGGAGAAGGAGGAAGGATCAATCAATCAAATCAACCAATAACCCAATCACCCACTCCACCACTCACCCCAAACCACCCACTCACCCACCCAAGCACCCAGAGACTCACCAATATCTGAGGCAAACTGAAGGTAAGGGCCAAGACCAACGGGACCAGCCACCGCAGTACACCTGCAGGGATCCAACACCTTGACGGAGGGCGGCCGAGGTAATAACACACTACCT